TTTCAATGTACGCATACTGTGACTTAACCACGATGATTTCAATGTACACATTATGTGGCTTAACCACGATGATTTCACTGAACACATTCTGTTGCTTAAGCACGATGATTTCAATGTACACATTATGTGGCTTAAGCACGATGATTTCACTGAACACATTATGTGGCTTAACCACGACAATTTCAATGTACGCATACTGTGACTTAACTACGATGATTTCACTGAACACATTCTGTTGCTTAACCACGACTATTTCACTGAACACATTATGTGGCTTAACCACGACAATTTCAGTGTACGCATACTGCAACTTAACCACGACAATTTCAATGTACGCATACTGTGACTTAACCACGACGATTTTAATGTAAGCATACCGTGACTTAACCACGACGATTTCAATGTAAACATCTTATGGCTTAACCACGACGATGTTAATGTAAGCATCTTATGGCTTAACCACGACGATGTTAATGTAAGCATCTTATGGCTTAACCACGACGATTTTCATGGAAGCATACTGTGACTTAATCACGATGATTTTACTGTACACATTCTATGGCTTAGCCATGAAGGTTTTAATGTAAACATTCTATGACTTAACCATGATAATATCAGCGTGCACATATTGTTACTTAACCTTGACAATACTAGCGTGCACACATTATTACTTAATCAACCATGACGATTTCACTGTAAACATACTGTGATTTAATCATGATAATATCAACGTGCACATATTGTTACTTAACCATGAAAATACTAGCGTGCACACAATTGTTACTTAACCATGACGATATCACTGTAACCGCAATTTTCACTCTTGACAATTCTTGGCGATATATGTATATATATATATACTTGTTTGTTTGAAATTAAGCACAAAGCTACACAATGGGCTATCTGTGCTCTGCCCATCACGGGTATCGAAACCCGGTTTTTAGCGTAGTAAGTCCGCAGACATACCGCTGTGCCACTGGGGGCATATATATATATACACACACACATATATATATACATACGAAGCTACAATGATGCGGAGATATGTTCATATTGTGTTATCATGTGCACCAAATACCCTAGTGCAGATATGTTCTGATAGTAACTAAACTTCTTTGTTTTATAACTTCTTCCTTTTAAAAATGGTCAGCCAAGAATGACGATGGTTAATATGTGACTTCCATCTTGACCGCTTTAAGTGTAGGTGAACGCAGCTCTGACTGTTATTTTCGAATCCAGTTGCTATCATATTGTTTGGCTGTTGGAATTGCATCTCACAACTGTGTGATGTGACATTCGACCAGACTCGTTTAAAAGTCTAGTTGAAACATAACATTAATAGCTCACGTGGTTTGCATGAACTTTTAGTTCTCTTACATGAAGTTTATTTTTATTTTATTCTTTACATTTATTGAGTTGTTTCTACATCAAGAATTGTACGTCATTGGATGAAACTACAAACACGCCCTTTACATAGATGACACCCGATGGATCTGCTGACCCAAGCATTGGATGAAACTACAAACACGCCCTTCACTATAGATTGCACTCGATGGATCTGCTGACCCAAGCATTGGATGAAACTACAAACATGTTTCATCCAATGCTTGGGTCAGCAGATCCATCGGGTGCCATCTATGTGAAGGGTTACAAACACGCCCTTCACATAGATTGCACTCGATGGATCTGCTGACCCAAGCATTGGATGAAACAACAAACACACCCTTCACATAAATGGCACCCGATGGATCTGCTGACCCAAGCATTGGATGAAACAACAAACACACCCTTCACAAAGATAGGGGAGCGGTAGTTATATAAAACAGGGATAGTTTGATGTTTCTCTAGATGTGGTGCATTTAAAATACATCAGCCAAAAGCACCGTTCTACTTTTAATATGCAGTTTGAAACCATTTTAGGTCCAGTGTGAAAACTGATCAATATCTGTCTTATAGTAAGAGAGAGATAAATTAATAAAGTAAGGCAAAAACTAATTTCTTCTTCTTCTGCCGTGTTTTCCGATACAAATTCTGTGACCTTTGAAATACCGTGATTACATTACACGACATTTCACTTGTTTGTCGACAATAAAATAAAACAGGAAATGTGTCTACTGTGACGTTTATATCCTTTATTTTAAACTATTTATTCACATTTCAAAAAAGGAGCATTCTCTCGCGAAAAAAGGGGGGGGAGGAGGAGAGTGTGTAATAAAGTAGGGTCGAACCTGCAACGCTATATACATTGTACTATGACTTTAAACATAAGATTATACTTTAGCTTGATATGAAGCACATATTTCTAAACATGGACCTCACCAGCTGCATGACGTGGCTTTGTTTGGAGTGAAAGCCGAAAAAGTGAGCGGTAGCAACTACACAAGAAATATATTTCATCACTGGCTAATCTAGAATTTGACAAATAACAGCCTAAACGAATGACATTAAACACACTGTTCAGGTAGCACTGTTTGTGCTGTGTGTGTGTGTGTGTGTGTGAAAAAACGAAGTGTTATATTTAGCAAAAACATTGTCCATGTGAAAAAACGTCAAGTTATAAAAAGATCCCAGCCATATAAAGTGGCGATATCAGACACACAAGCCAAGTTAGAAGAAACACTTGAGGCAACCTTATATTCTATATTACTTTAATTATAGTACTAATACTATATTTTCACATTCAAAATGTTTTTGTTATATATAGTAAATACTCAACACATTGCCATTTACTACCCGATCCGCTTAATGAACGTAATCTTGTGAAGAGAATGTAAAGAGATGTCCTTGGGAGATTCCCAGCTGGCTTTATCCTGCTGAATAAATACATTCACCGGTAGCTATCACAACCACTTATCTATCAGTAACTGGGATCCCACTGGTAATGGATCGCTTGTGAAAAGAGCATATCAGCAGCACGTGGAACGTGATACACAGGATGAAAAACAACACAACTTGCAGGAAATTTGCTACTGAGTGTGAGAGTCGGCTACTGGGATGAACGAAAACAGCAACACAAGCCTAGCAACAGTATTCGTTTCTTATTTACAGGTGAAAACACGGCAATATCCACCTCTGTCACTGGTTTTATAGATTGTGTAAAACTCCTACTTTTAGCCCTTTTTTTTTAATGTTTGTTTAAACAGATGAAAGGACGAACAGACAGACAGGCAATATTCGTCATTAAAACTAGACACGCTTTATATTGTATTAAATTTGATTTTAGAAATATAGAGACAGGCGGTTTAGAAATATGGTTCGTTAGAAAGATACTAAAATATACTGAGAGACAGATCAATATGTCTATTCATGATCATAAGAACTGGCAGGTTCCATTGTCATATGACGGTTAGTGTCAGTTGCAGAAAGTACAGCATCAATGTGCGTGCGGTTGAGTCTATACTCCAAATCATCCAAGCAGAACGTAGCTTTCTCTTCAGGATAATATCTGTCATCAGATTTATTCAGCCACTGAAATCTTGAAATGGAACCGATTTGCATGACAAATCAACTGCAGTGGCCTACATCAACTGACTTAGTATTCATTTCTAATCTAATATTGGAGTTTCTTCCTATGTTAATCAAATCTCTTAAAGGCTTTTTCAAAGTAATTGGATTTGCCACAAAATTCAAACTGTCTAGTAATAACGACGTGGGTTAATTAACACAATTAACCATTGTGCAAATTCAACATAAACACAAAGTCAGTCGTTATCCATTATCTCCTAGTTTAAAGTTCTGACTTTGACAGTTCATACGTTTCACAGTAGTGATGCTGAAATGACAACACTATCAGTTACCTTTAGAACCATATACGTAGATGTATAGCCGAACAACGCCAGTTATGTGTAATATCCCATGCAAAACAGACAGATATGACGAACAGCGTCGTTCTCTGCAGAAACCATTACTTAAGGCTTAAAGATGACAAATAATCACATATCTGTTGTATGATATATATACATATTTGTACGTATGCAATGACTGTTGACCAGTATAAGTGAATGTTAGCAACCAGAGTTATCCTATTTAAACTATCTTAAGCCCCTCAATGGCACAGCAGTATTTCTGCGGACTTACAACGCTAGAATCTGGGTTTCGATACTTGTGGTGGGCAGAGCACAGATAGCCCATTGTGTAGCTTTGTGCTTAATTAAAAACAAAACAAAACAAAAAAACTATCTTAATATTACTCAAAATCGTCATAATTATGTTTTCTGAGAAGCATAATTAATTATGTTCATGATATGATTTAAATCTAAAATTGAACTGAAAGAGCTGCGAGATTACTAATATAAAAACAATATAAGAGCTTTGGGGTTACAATATAACAATAAATATGATACTATTATGAAGTTTATACTACTAGAAAATTATATTGGCCCGGCATGGCCAGGTGGCTAGAGAGCTCGACTCGCAATCTGCGGGTCACGGGTTCAAATCCCCGTCACACCAAACATGCTCGCCCTTTCAGCCATGGGGGCGTTATAATGTGACGGTCAATCCCACTATTCGTTGGTAAAAGAGTAGCCCAAGAGTTGGCGGTGGGTGGTGATGACTAGCTGCCTTCCCTCTAGTCTTACATTGCTAAATTAGGGACGGCTAGCGCAGATAGCCTTCGTGTAGCTTTGCGCGAAATTAAAAACAAACAAGAAAGTTATAACAATTACAAAAAAACTTTACTAAACAAGCAGGGATAGTGATAAAGCGCCCTCTTTTTACTACCCGGAAAATGCAGCCTAGATTCCCCTATTTCATTAAAACCAGTGCATAAATTACTCGTGCAACCACCTCCAGAGGACCATTTTCACTCCTGCCCTTCTCTAAGAATGGCATTAACTACAATCTATTTTATCCAAATATACGACCACAGAGCAAGCAGAACTGACTTAGCTAAGCAGAAACGCAGGTGTTCCTAATCAGCTAATGGTCTACGACAAAGAAAAGGTTTAGCTACTTAAAGTTTTATCTCATAAAAGTCCATAAACAAAGTTCTCACTCACCGCAGGGTTGCCACGTTGCATGCTCATGTAGCTTCATACTCTAGAATCTAGATCATTTCGTACTGTTGCTGCTCGTGTAAGGACCTTGTTTCCTGCCATACTAAAACGATTTAGAAAGTTAATAGCAGAAGGCTGGTGGTTTCGTCTTCGTCTCGTGAAGTGCATTAGGCTGATGATTCTGTCCTCGTCTCGTGATACACGTCAGCACGAGCGGGTGTCGCGTAAATTAATATTGTTTCAAGGAGGTGTTTGGTATTTCCAGGTTAGTTATCTAAAAACACCTCGAGAAGGATAAGCTTGTACCTACAGAATGGACAGTTTATACAGTTTATGGCCCTTCCGTTTCAGAGATTAGCATAACAAATTACACGAGTGTTTGATTATTCGTTTGTTGATGTACTTGTATCTCATATTAGTGTTAAAGCTGTGACATTTAATTTAGTACTTACAATATAATATAATTTTGTTCTAAGTAATAATACAAAGAAAGTACTTAATAAAGTCATTACTTATCTCACTCTTTCGTTTTACGAAGAAAAATGTCAATGGGTATAAAATCGTCTCTTAATACCAATGAGATGTATAAATACATCATACGCTAAGCCCTTCTACAGTATTGTGTATGAGTACATGTTTATTCATCAATTATTAAAAATTTAATTAGAGGATTTTGCTCTAAGTTCAAAGTTCTAAACGAACAGAATGCATCAAACCTTGAACTGGACTAATCCTGTCCTTTGAGTTTGTCCTACACGTTCGTGGTATTAACCGTTTATTTTCACACCAAGTCGATTTTTTTAGATAATTCGTCAAGATAAATAACCTTGATTATTTTCTAGCATATTAGACATGTAGAGAAATAGAGATACTGGAAACTGATTTAAATATATGTTAATGGGGCGTGACTGGCTTAGCATCCCGGAAGTTTTAGAAAAGCTTGGAGTTTGTAATATAATTCCAAGCAAAGCTAGAACTTTCAGATGTGTCTGTGAAAATCGTCGTAGTTCTCGTTCTATACAGTTGTCTTGAGGTCTGTCTGGAGCTTTTGTATCAGCACTTTTTTTAAACATGAACAAAACCAACGAACATGTTGATAAGATAAAGTCACTCTAGAAGCCATTTTCACATATAGTCATGTTTTTGGTATCATCAAACAGCTTCTTTTCAGTTTTTCTTTTGGGCTGAATCAAAAATATTCACATAGGCATAACAAGTCTTGCCGAACTTCTTACTATTACACTAGGTGTGTTCCATAGATCAATATTCACACTAGTTTAATATATTTAGTTGAATTCATGGATAAATAGCCACCTAAGAGTTAAAATATTCAGTTTATTTCATGGGACAATAATCACATTTACGTACGAAAAAAATATGATAAAAGCTCGCGTTTTCTACAGATGGTCCTGTCTTCTTGAGGGATAGAGACGGGTACTGTGTTGCTGTACTCTTGAGAGGTAGAGACAGGTACTCACTCAGTTGCTGTCTTCTTGAGGGCTAAAGACAGGTACTGAGTTGCTGTACTCTTGAGGGGTAAAGACAGGTACTCAGTTGCTGTCTTCTTGAGGGGGTAGAGACAGGTATTCGGTTGCTGTCTTCTCGAGGGGGAAGAGGCAGGTACTGGGTTGCTGTCTTCTTGAGGGGGAAGAGACAGGTACTTGGTTGCTGTCTTCTTGAGGGCTAAAGACAGGTACTGGGTTGCTGTACTGTTGAGGGGTAGAGACAGGTACTCGGTTGATTTCACGAGTAAATATTACACCACAAATAAGACCGTAATTTGGTTTCTTAGGTCAATAGCCACATTGGAGTAAAAATACTTGGTCGATTTCTTGTATAAATGTCATATGAGATATAAAATACTTGGTCGGTTTCATGTATCAATGTCATATGAGATATAAGATACTTGATCGGTTTCATATATCAGTGATCGCATTAGAGTTAAGGCAATTGGATGATTCCGTGAATTAATGATCTTATCACAGAGAGTGCATTTGGAAAAGTAAAACACCAGGTCCGATCAAGAAAGACGTTTGTATTCTAAATCTTATCGAAGCTTTAATCTTCAAAAGTAGCTTACGTGCAGTAAAAGTCTCGGAACAGCATAAAGTCTAGAAACTGCAGCTACAACATTAGTGCTTTATAGTAAAGCTAAGCTTAATGCACTTAAGGGGTGAATGACTAGATATCGTGTCCTCTTGAAAAATGACCGGAAACAGAAATGATGATATTCTCTATAGAATAGGTAGAATATATTTCGATCTGTTCTAAGTGAAAGTGGGGGGAGATGGGGGGTAAGAGCACGCTCTGATAGATTGTGGATTGATACTTCTCAATTTATCTTTCTAGACAATTTACCCACTTAATAAAGTAAACAAAATAGTATATACGTACCGTTGTGGTAGACAATACAAAAATATGTCATGGTGATAAATAGCATAGAAATATATAAGTATCATGGTGGTCGACACTAAACGTATATAAGTATCATAACAACAAATAATAAAAAGAATACAAGAATAAAAGCGGCACACCTAAGTTTTATAAATATGTTAGTATCATACAGACAAACAATCAGAAAATATCACACGTAGCCCAGTTTATTGATGACAAACAACTATACCCATCTTCATATGATGTCGACGAGAAGAGTGTTAAGTGATGGCTAATATGACGTCATCACACAATTCGCGAGTGCTCCAGGATAGCTAGTGCTATGTCGACATACAGTTAGCGAGTGTTACATGATAGCTAGTATGATGGTGACACATAATTAGCAAGTGTTCCCGGATATCTGACGTTATTTCGACACACTATTAGCGAGTGTTTCACGACGGATAGTATGATGTCTTTAAGCAAGGACCGTTATTGGTAATCAATAGTAATTCTCGACCTCACACAAACTCTTGCTTTCTGAATCAAAAGCTTGAGTTGTAGTTCAACTTACGAAGCGTGTTAACAATCAACTGTTTCTTTTTTTTATGCTTTAAAATTAAACTTAGTAATTACACTTTGTCAACCTAAGGTAGGTAGTTAAATAGCGAATATTAAGGGGCCTGTTATAAAGCAGACATTTCAACGAGGTTATAAAGGGGGCTCGTTATAAAGTAACTACTTGCACATAACTGGTAATGGGAGGTGTATAAAATTGACGATTAAACGAGGTTACAAAAGCGATAGTTGAACGTGGATTATCATAGGCTAGTTATAAAGTAGGTAGTTGAAGGTGGCTTATCATAAGGCTAGTTATAAAGGTGGTAGTTGAACAATGAACGGGAATTATTTTAGGGCTAGTTGTAAACGAGATAGTTGAGCGGAGATTATTACACGACTAGTTAAACAGTAAGTAGTTGAACGGGGATTACTATATGGCTAGTTATAAAGGTGATAGTTGCACGAGGGTTATTATAGGGATAGCTATAAAGTAGATAATTGAACGAGGCTTTTATGGAGGTCGTTATAAAACTGAAAATTGAATGGAGTTACTAAAGGGCTCACAATATTACCACCATACAGAAACAATTGTAGAAATGTTTAATAACACACGCATTGTTACCACTGTACAGTTACAATATAGAAAATATTAGTAACATCCAATATTACCACCATACAGTAACAATGTAGAAATGTTTAATAACACACGCATTGTTACCACTGTACAGTTACAATATAGAGAATATTAGTAACATTCAATATTACCACCATACAGAAACAATGTAGAAATGTTTAGTAACACACGCATTGTTACCACTGTACAGTTACAATATAGAAAATACTAGTAACATTCAATATTACCACCATACAGAAACAATGTAGAAATGTTTAATAACACACGCATTGTTACCACTGTACAGTTACAATATAGAGAATATTAGTAACATCCAATATTACCACCATACAGTAATAAGACAAGGAAATTTAGTTTAATATCCTGCAATGTTACCACCATGTAGTAACAAGATAGTGAAGTTTAATATCCTTCAATGTTACCACCATGTAGTAACAAGATAGTGAAGTTTAATATCCTTCAATGTTACCACCATGTAGTAACAAGATAGTGACGTTTAATATCCTTCAATGTTACCGCCATGCAGTAACAAGATAGATAAGTTTAATATTCTTCAATGTTACCACCATGTAGTAACAAGATATAGAAGTTTAATATCCTTCAATTCTACCATGCAGTAACAAGATAGAGAAGTTTGATATCCTTCAGTGTTACTAGCATAAAGTAACAAGACAAAGATGTTTAGTAACCCACAATATTACTACTGTACATTAAAAAGATACAGTTTAGTATCCTCCCATGTTACCACCATGCACTAACAAGATAGAGAAGTTTAATATCCTTCAATGTTACCGCCATGCAGTAACAAGATAGATAAGTTTAATATTCTTCAATGTTACCACCATGTAGTAACAAGATATAGAAGTTTAATATCCTTCAATGCTACCATGCACTAACAAGATAGAGAAGTTTAATGTCCTTCAATGTTACCACCATGTAGTAACAAGATAGAGAAGTTTGATATCCTTCAATGTTACTAGCATAAAGTAACAAGACAAAGATGTTTAGTAACTCACAATATTACTACTGTACATTAAAAAGATACAGTTTAGTATCCTCCCATGTTACCACCATGCAGTAACAAGATAGAGAAGTTTAATGTCCTTCAATGTTACCACCATGTAGTAACAAGATAGAGAAGTTTAATGTCCTTCAGTGTTACTAGCATAAAGTAACAAGACAAAGATGTTTAGTAACTCACAATATTACTACTGTACATTAAAAAGATACAGTTTAGTATCCTCCCATGTTACCACCATGTAGTAACAAGATAGAGAAGTTTGATATCCTTCAATGTTACTAGCATAAAGTAACAAGATAGAGAAGTTTGATATCCTTCAATGTTACTAGCATAAAGTAACAAGACAAAGATGTTTAGTAACTCACAATATTACTACTGTACATTAAAAAGATACAGTTTAATATCATCCAATGTTCCCACCATATATCA